GCGGGGGAGTGACAAGAAAGGGAAGAAGACGAAGAAAAGGAGATAAAGAGAGAGAGGATAAAGTGCAAGAGAAAAAGAAGGGTGAGATAAAAGGTATGAGGAAGAACAAGATAAAGTTGAATGAAGAAGAAGGAGAAGGGAGAGGATTAAGAAGATGATGATGAAGAAAAAGTGAGGAAGAAGCCTCAATCTTCATTTATGTATTCTGCACAATTATCATATTTTCTTTATATATTACAAAATCCGCCTCGCAAAACAACTTGGACGTTTTCTTTTGCACGATGGAAATGCAAATTCGGATGAAAATCTCTTTTATTTCTTGGAATTTTCTTTCGTCCAGATCTCATCATCAGGAACCGCGATTTCACTTTTTTTTAGCCCAAGATACCAAGAAAGCTCAGATTTATTCCGTCAAAGAATGGGTAGAAATGGACCTTTTTTTATCTAGGTACTTTTGCTTTGTCTTCTTTCTTGGCCAGTCTCTCTCTGTCACTCATTCTCTCTCTCTGTCATCATTCTCTCTCTCTCTCTCTTCTCTCTCTCTCTCTCTCTCTCTCTGTCATTCATTCTCTCTCTCTCCCTCTCTGTCCTCTCTCTCTTCTCTTTCTCCTCTCTCTGTCACTCATTATCTTCTCTCTCTCTCTTCTCTCTCTCTCTCTCTCTCTTATTCTCCCTCTCTTCCTCTCTCTCTCTCCCTCTCCCTCTCTCCTCATCTCCTCTCTCTCTCTCTCTCTCTCTCTCTCTCTCTCTCTCTCTCTCTCTCTCTCTCTCTCTCTCTCTCTCTCTCTCTCTCTCTCTCTCTCTCTCTCTCTCTCTCTCCCCCTCTCTCTCTCTCTCTCTCTTTCTCTTGTTGGACAAGACGGCTGACAACACGATTGAACTTGTAACGCGTTCTCTTCCCTCGCCTCATCTCCTCATTCTTTCTTAACCTTTCCACCCCTTCCCTTCTTTGTCTTCTTTTTCTCTCAATCTTTGTTTTTTCGGACTCTTTTTTCTTTCTTTTCTCTTTTTATTTCTTCTTCTATTTTCCTTCTCCTTCTCCTTCTTCTCTTGTTCCTTCTCCTTCGCCTTCTCCTGTCCTTCTCTGTTCTTCATGCAAAGGAAGGTAGTAAGCCATTAGTGTAAATCAAAAAGCCGTGTTTGTTTATTAATGTATACTTCCTTATTAATGTGTGTGTGCGTGTGTCTGTGTAGTTGTTTGTTTGTGTGTGTGTATGTGCGTTTGGGTGTGTGTGTGTGCGTTTGGGTGTGTGGTGCGTGCGTTTGTGTTTGTGCTTGTGTGTGTGTATGTGTATGTGTGTGCCAGTATTTAATCGAGACATTATTCTTATGTTTTGTATGTGATATATTGTCTTGCAATTGTTTTATTTCTTAAATTAATAAATTCTTTACTTTTTCCATGTATTAAAGTATATTCTTATCTTCCATCTATTTTGCATAATACAAGCCTCCTTCCTCTGTCAAAACCGATAAAGAAAGAGAGAAAGAAAGGAAAAAAAATACTCCTAGATCCTTGTCCTTTATTAATTCGAATGATCAGAATGTGATAAATTTCACTGATCACTTTTCCTGTCAAGTTAATTACCCGTTTGTCTAATAGGAAAAAATGAAGAATTATTGTCTTTCGAGCGAATGTTCGAAGAGGAAAGAGAAAAGGAGATAAATGAGAAGAAAAAGAGGGAGGTAAATGAGAGGAAAGAGAAGTACATAAAGAGAGAGAGAGAGAGAGAGAGAGAGAGAGAGAGAGAGAGAGGAGGAGAGAGAGAGAGAGAAAGAGCGAGAGAAGGAGGGAGAGAGAGGGGTAAAACAAAAGAATGATGCACGAAGAGGATGATACACGAAGCAGAAGAAGCGGTAGAAAATGAAAGAGAAAGAAAAAATGAAAGAAGTAATAAAGAGAAAGAAGGATCATGAAGTTCTATTGGATAGTGTACTGTGCAATGTTGATACACTATGCAATCGTGCAGACGGTGAATTATTTCCCTAAGCGGTTCCATGAGGTCATAGCGGCTATAGTGAGTATTATGGTGAGCCTCGTAGAGAGAAAGATGGAGAAGAGAGAGAGAAGAGAGGGCAAGAGAGAGAGAGAGAGAGGAGAGAGAGGAGAGAGAGGGAGAGAGAGAGAGAGAGAGAGAGAGAGAGAGAGAAGGAGAGAGAGAACAATAATCATATTAATCACCATCGCTGTTGATAAAACACTAGCTTATTGCATGATGTGTAGATAACAAAGATGAAAGCAATACTGACATATTCATTAGAGGATAAGAGTGTTTGGTGAAGGTCCTTAAATCAGTGACGTCCAGGCTCTTTAATGTTTATATTTTTCATTAGTCTTTCTGTAGTTAAATCACCCTCTCTTATATATCTATGTATATAAATGTGTGTGTGTGTGTGTGTGTGTGTGTGTTGTGTGTGTGAATGATGAAGTTATGTTGTGTGTGAAAAAAAAAACTTTCCATCTCCAAGACCCTGAAGACTTCTCAAAACTTCTCTAAAGTCATAAAGCTTCATACCCCCTCCCCCCCCCCCCCCCCCTCCTCATCCCCCTTCATCCCATCGCCAGTCCCCCATCAGCCCCCCCCCCCCCAAAAAAAAAAAAAATCTAAAAAAACTCTTAAATATCCGACCGCCAATAGAACCGCTCAGATTATATGGCGCCGTTAATAAATGATAGAAATTTCTAATAATGATAATGATTCGGATAATTGGTCTTTTCCCGCCGTGATTGGCTGATGAAGACTCGAATAAAAGTAAGTTTTTTTGAAAGACGGTTAAAGAAAAAGTACATTTTGAGAAGGAAGGAAAAGCCGTGATGGAGGTCTTCGAATTGTTTTTTTTGTTTATGAATTAATTAATTTATTTATCTATCAATTTTTCATATTATTCAGTTATCAAATTATTCATTTTACCTTTCATTCACATTGCGTTGCTTACATTTATTTCTGAATCCATTTTTTTCTCGTTTTTTTCTTTTTTTTATTCAGTTTATCAAAATATAATTTGTTTCAGTAATCGAGAGAAAATTAGGAAGATTTTTCATTCGCTATGGATGGAAAGAAGAGAAGCAGCAGAAGATAAAGAGAAGAGAAGAAAAAAAAGAGCGAAAAGCAAATAAACAGAAACGGAAGATAAGAAGAAGAAAATGATAATGGAAGAGAAATTGAACAGAAACGGACAACGGAAGAGAAAAGAAAAAAAAGATGATACTGATACTAAAAAGATAAACAGAAACGGAAGATAAGAAGAAGAAAATGATAATGGAAGAGAAATTGAACAGAAACGGACAACGGAAAAGAAAAAGAAAAAAAGATAAACAGAAACGGAAGATAAAAAGAAGAAAGAAATAACAATGAAAGAGAAAAATGAATAGACGCGGACAACAGAAGAAGAAAAAGATGATGAGGATGATGAAACAAAAAGGAAGAAGAAAATAAACAGACACGGAAAACGGCCCGAAACTCCCCTCCGAGGCGCGTGTGGGCGGCGGGCGCGGGCGTGCGGGCGTGCGGGCGGCCTCGACCTCACGCGCAGCGAATACGAAAGAGGAATCCGGGCGCTGACGGAATCGCCTCGGGGTCAGCATGGTCAGCCAGCGGACTAAGGTCACTTTGGGCCTCGGGGCTGACCTCCGCTGACCTCCTCCTCCTCCTCCTCCTTTTTTTTACTCCCTCTTCATCTCCCTTTGATTTCCTCCTTCTTCATCCTCCTCTTTTTTTCCTCCCTCTTCATCTCCCTTTTGATTTCCTCAGTCTTCTCCTCTTTGATTTCCTCCTTCTTCTCCTCCTCTCCTCCTCTTCTTCTGCCTTCTTCTCCTGGATTCCCTCCTCCTCTTCCTCCCCTGTTCTTTGTCTACCTTTTATTTTATTCTTCCTCCTCCTTTTTCTTGCCTTCTTGATCCCTTCCTCCTCGTCTTCGTCTTGTAATTATTGTCATTATTTCTTTCCCCTCCCTTTTCTTCTTTTTTCTCGATTTACTTCTCTTCCTCCTCTTCCTCCTCATCATCATCATCCTCGCCGTCGTCCTCTCCCTCCTCCTGTTATTTCTCCGCTTCCCCCTCCTCTTCATCCTCCTCCTCACCCTCCTACTCCTCCCCTCTCCCACCTCCCCCCCCTCCCCCCCCCTCCACCCATCCACTCCCCTTCCCCCTCCCCTTCCACCCCCCACCCCTCCTCTCCCCTTCCCCTTCCAGCCCTTCCACCCCCACCCCTCCTCTCCCTTCCACCCACCCCACCCTTCTCCCCCCTCCCCTTCTACCCCCCCCCTCCTCCCCCCAGCCCGACGGCGTGGCGCGGCTCCTTCGGGACGGGATCGAAGGCGCGGGAAGGCACGCTCGGACGCTTCTAAATCCTTCGGGAATCTCCGCCGCCGAAGGAATCATGACTGAATACATTATAATACACGATAGAGCTCCGTCGACGTGCATCACTCGGCGTGTTCGACAGGTAGGATGCGCTCGACAGGTGTGAGTTGTTTGGCAGGTGTCCTCCTCCTCCTCCTCCTCCTCCTCCTCCTTCTTCTTCTTCTCCTTCTTTTCCTTCAGCCATTCTTTTTCTTCCTTTTCCTCCTCGTCTTCCCGTTCCTCCTCCTCCTCCTCCTCCTCCTCCTCTTCTTCTTCTCCTTCTTCTCCTACAGCCATTCTTCTTCTTCCTTTTCCTTCTCGTCTTCCCGTTCCTCTTCCTCTTCCTCGTCATCATCATCATCATCATCGTGGTCACTAATTTCCTTCTCCTTCTCCTCCTCCTCCTCCTCCTCTTCCTTCACCTATCCCTCCTCTTAATCCTCCTTCTCCTCCTCCTCTTCTTCCTCCATCTATTCCTACTCTTATTCCTTCTCCTCCTCTTCCTCTTCCTTCACCTATTCCTACTCTTAATCCTCCTCCTCCTCTTCCTCTTCCTTTCATTCCCTCCTCTCCTCCTCCTCCTCCTCCTCCTCCTCCTCCCCACACAGGTGTGACTTGTCTGACAGCTGTGATAGATTCAACAGCTTTTTTTTTTTCCTATTCAACAAATGCCTCCGAGAGAGAGTCCAGCGCACAGGTATATTACGAGGCCGGCTGGACATGCGCTCGGGACACGTGTGCTGAGGAGGACGACTTTGCAGGCGCGGCTCTTGGGGCGTCGCTTCGAACTCTTGGCGGCGAGAGGCTCTTGGCGGCGGGAGGCTCTTGGGGCGCCCTTCGAACTCTTGGCGAACGAGGCAAGGCTCTTGGGCGGCGTCGGAACTCTTAGAAGGCGGCGGATGCTCTTGGCGGCGGAGAGCTCTTGCGGCGAACTCGCGTGAGGGGGCTTGGCGGCGTTGAGGCGCTTCTTGAGCCCGGCGAGAGGCTCTTGGCGGCGCTCTCTTCGTGAGGCTCTTTTCGGCGAGAGGCTCTTCTTGGCGGCGAGAGGCTCTTCGTAGCTCTTGGCGGCGTGAGGCTCTTAGCGGCGAGAGGCTCTTGGCGGCGTGAGGCTTGAGGCTTCTTTGGGCGAGAGACTCTTGGGCGGCGTGAGGCTCTTGGCGGCGCGAAGAGGCTCTTGGCGGCGTGAGGCTCTTCTGCGGGAGGCTCTTGGCGGCGAGAGGCTCTGGAAGAGGCTCTCTTGGCGGCGAGGCTTGAGGCTCTTGGCGAGAGGCTCTTGGCGGCGTGAGGCTCTTGGCGGCGAGAGGCTCTTGGCGGCGGGAGGCTCTTGGCGGCGAGAGGCTCTTGGGCGGCGGAGGCTCTTCGAGAGAGGCGAACTCTTGGCGGCGGGAGGCTCTTGCGGCGAGAGGCTCTTGCGGCGTGAGGCTCTTGGGGCCTCTTGCTTGTCGCTTCGAACTCTTGGCGGCGAGAGGCTCTTGGCGGAGAGGCGGCCCGAGGCTCTTGGCGGCGCGAGGCTCTTGGGCGAGAGGCTCTTGGTGGGCGGCGTGAGGCTCTTGGGGCGTCGCTTCGAACTCTTGGCGGCGTGAGGCTCTTTGCGAGGCTCTTGGGCGGGAGGCTCTTGGCTCTTGGCGGGAGCTCTTGGCGGCCGCGGCGAGAGCTCTTGCCGGCGGGAGGCTTTGTGGCCGGCGAAGCGTGAGGCTCTTGGCGCGCTTGAGGCTCTTGGCGGCGGAGGCTCTTGGCGCGAGAGGCTCTTGGTGGCGTGAGGCTCTTGGTCGGCGAGCGGCCTCTTGGGCGGCGAGAGGCTCTTGGTGGCGAGAGGCTCTTGAGGGCTCTTGGCGGCGAGAGGCTCTTGGCGGTGAGAGGCTCTTGGCGGCGTGAGGCTCTTGGCGGCGAGAGGCTCTTGGCGGCGAGAGGCTCTTGGTGGCGTGAGGCTCTTGGCGTGGCGGAGAGGCTCTTGGTGGCGATGAGGCTCATGGCGCGTGAGGCTCTTGGCGGCGTGAGGCTCATGGCGGGCGAGAAGGCTCTTGCGCGGCGAGAGGCTCTTGGCGGCGAAGGCTCTTTGTGCGTGAGGCTCATGGCGGCGTGAGGCTCATGCGCGAGAGGCTCTGTTGGCGCGGGAGCTCTTGCCGGCGAGAGGCTCTTGGCGCGAGAGGCTCTTGGCGCGGCGGAGGCTCTTGGCGGCGAGAGGCTCTTGGCGGCGTGAGCCTCTGGCGGCGAGAAGGCTCTTGGCGGCGGAGGCTCTTGGGGCCGTCGCTTATCGCAACTCTTGCGGCAGAGGCCTCCTGGTGGCGAGAGGCTTTGGCGGGCGTGAGGCTCTTGGTGACGTGAGGCTCATAGCGGCGTGAGGCTCTTGGCGGCGAGAGGCTCTTGGTCGGTAGATCGTGTGGTCTTGGCGGCCGATACAAATCGGTGCAAGGCCTCTGGCGGCCGTGATGGCTCTTGGCGGCGTAGGCTCTTGGTGTTGGAAACGTGAGCTCATAAGCGGCTGTGAGGCTCTTTCGGTGGCGTTGAGCTCCTTGGCGGAGAGAGGCTCTTGGCGCGTGTTGTCTTGGCGGCACCCGTGTGAGGCTCATGGCGGCAGAGCCTCATGCGGTCGAGAGGCGCTCTTGGCGGCTCGTCCGATACAATCTCATAATCACGTGAGGCTACTTGGCGTGAGAGAGGCTCTTGGGCGGGCATGGAGGCTCTTGGTCGGCGGGAAGGGCTCTTACGGCGGAAAGGCTCTTGGCGGCGGACACTGTTGGTCTTGGCGGCAGAGAGGCTCTTGGCGGCGAGAGGCTACTGGCGGCGAGAGCTCTTGGCAGCGTGGAGGCTCTGGCAGCGAGAGGGCCTTGCAGCGTGAGGCCTCTTGGCCGGCGAGAAGGCTCTTCGGGTGGCTAGAGGCTGCTTGGCGGCTGAGCTCTTGGGGCGATGAGGCTTCTTGGCGGCGACGTGAGGTCTTGCGGGCGAGAGCTCTTGGCGGTGCCAAACAAATTACCACGATTACGTGAGGCCTCTTGCGCGCGAAGGCTCTTGGTGGCGTTGAAGATCTCTTGGCGGCGTGAGGCTCTTGGCGGCGAGAGGCTCTTGGCGGCGTGAGGCTCTTGGTGGCGTGAGCTCTGGCGTTGCGCTAAGGACGATTTATCCCGTGAGTGCTATCTTAGGCCTTATCCCCACGGCTGAGG